AATGGTGGAAGCTCCCCGAACACCGCCAGCAAGTCAGAGATGCTCTTAACAGTGGCGTACCCAGGATTTCGGCTCGGGGGGGGGGGGGGCGCGGCAAAAAAAATTTTAAATGAAGGTGCGTGGCGTTAGCCACGCACTCCGAAAAAATTTTAGGGGGGCTTCTCAACAATTCTGCGGGCCTCCAACCCCTAAAATCTGGAAAAAGGGGGCGTGGCGTCAGCCACGCCCCCGAAAAAATTTTTTTATAGGGCTAATTTGAATTTTTAAAAAATTTTAAAAATTATTTTAGTTGTTTACAAAAATAAACAAGTCATTTGCACATTTTTATAACGCATGTAAGTAACTTTCAAAAATTTCGCGACCCGTTCTCGGGGGGGGCGCGCCCCCCCCCCGCCCCCCCCCCCTCGGTACGCCACTGGCTCTTAACGATTTGAGGGTGTCGACGGATAATAAGGAGTCGACTGAAGAGCAGTGGAATCGGATTACTTCGCAGATACGGTCGAGGGCCGAGACAATCTTGGGAACCACCAAGCCAGGACGCCGGTTTGTAGACAAGCAGATCTGGTGGTGGTCTGAGTCAGTCCAGCAAGTGATCAAGGAGAAGAAAGAAGCTTTCAAAGCCTGGCAACGCTCACGCTCAAATGAAGACCTCCGTCGGTATCGAGAGCAGAACTCGAAGGCGAAGCACGCGGTAGCCGAAGCAAAGGAAGCTCACTACAAGAGACTTTACGACGAGCTGGAAGGACCTGCTGGAGCGAACAAGGTCTACCGGCTGGCCGCGGCACGACATCGAGCGAAGCAGGACATCGACCACGTCATGCACATTAAGGACGCAGAGGGCAACCTCCTGACGAAGCCGAGGGCAATACTCAAGCGGTGGAGTGAATACTACAAAGGGCTATTTGATGAGGAGTTCCCGCACCCGTTAATACCGCAAGGAGCCCCCACATATGGACCGGTATCCCCGATCGAGGAGGCAGAAGTTGTGCAGGCACTGAGGAAGATGTCTAGCGGAAAAGCTCCGGGACCCGACGACATACCTGCTGAAGTGTGGAAGATGATGGGGCAGCGTGGAGCGGCATATCTCACATCGCTCTTTAACCGCATTATCGTAGACGGACAGTTGCCGCGAATCTGGACTACGAGTGTCACAGTCCCCATCTGGAAGGAAAAGGGCGACGTCAGCGACTGTTCAACATATCGACCAATACGCTTGCTATGCCACACGATGAAGATCTTCGAACGAGTCATCGACGCACGCATTCGAAGTATAGTGGAGGTCACCCCGAATCAATGCGGTTTTGTAAAAGGATCTGGCACCATCAACGCCATCCACGCGGTACGATTGCTAATGGAAAGGCATTTGGAGAAACGGATTCCGATTCATTTCGCATTCCTGGATTTAGAAAAGGCATTTGATCGGATACCACACGGGCTGATCTGGTATGCGCTGAGACAACACGACGTCCCAGAAGAGTACGTTCGCTGGATCAAACTCCTCTATACGAACACGACGGGCGCCATACGCTGTGCAGTGGGAACGTCAACGCCATTCCCAATCCAAGTCGGAGTACACCAAGGATCGGCTCTATCACCGCTTCTCTTTATACTGTGCATGGACACGGTGACCAAGGACATCCAGCTGCCGCATCCGTGGACGCTCCTTTACGCAGACGACGTCGAGCTAGCAAGCGGGTCGAGACAAGAGCTTGAAGAGGCGACTGTGAGATGGAAGACACGATTAGCGGAGTATGGCCTACGACTGAACGTAGCAAAGACCGAGTACCTGGAATGCGGAGAGCAAACCGATGGCAAATTAGCATCGATGGGCAGCCGCTGAAGAAGGTCACGGTATTCAAATACCTGGGCTCCCGAGTGACGTCAGATTGCGACACGATCACTGATGCTCGTGCTAGGACGAGCGCGGCGTGGCTAAAATGGCGGCAAGTAACAGGAGTACTCTGCGACCGACGAATCCCGTTGTATCTCAAGTCGAAAGTGTATCGGACTGTGGTGAGGCCAGTCGCACTGTATGGAGCCGAATGTTGGCCAGCAACCAGAAAACACGAGCAGATCCTGAGCACGATGGAGACGCGAATGATAAGATGGATACTGGGCCTAACGAGAAGAAACTGCGTCACGAACGATGATGTACGACACATTTTGGAGTTGCACCTATCGCGGATAAGATGCGAGGTGCCAGATTAAGATGGTATGGTCACGTTTTACGAAGTGAAGATAATACAGTAGCAAAAACAGCACTTCGTCTAGATCCACAGGGGAAGAGACCACGTGGCCGTCCGAAGCAACGCTGGTTGGACACCATTCGAAACGACCTGCACATTGCAAAGCTCAAACCACAAGAAGCAGCTGATCGAGTCAAATGGAAGCAAAAATGCACCACCGCCGACCCTGCACCCGCGGGACAATGGCGAAGATAAAGAAGAAGAAGAAGAATCACATTTCAATTCGCAAAAGCTTTGAAAGCTTTCGTGTATTTGCTGCAGTTGCGTGTTTCATGACTTAAAAAGATCGAAACTGCCGAAGAAATAATGTTTTTGAAGCTAAAAACAGCAAATTAAGAGAATCTCTAAGAATATTACCTTGTAATTTGAGAATTGCTCTATTTGATCCATACTTAATCCTTTCCGAAACTTTGGAATGAAATTTAGAACTTTGGAATGAAATTTAAAAAAGTAGCTTAACTTTGAGCAGATAAAATGACGGATGGAGAACTTTGGCAATTATCAAAAAAAGCATACAAGATTGTGGTTTGAAAATGTATTCTTAAAAGAGAGGGAAAAGCCATCGGATGCGTGTTGAGATTCATTTAGGTCTTTATTGTGTGTGGTCCTACAGTCGTTTGAAAAAACGAACAAAACTTTCGGGACAACAGCAGAGGTTCACTGATTCTATCACTGTAGGCCTTCCTCGTGCTCCCCAGTGCTAGTCTTAGAACTCACGCAATGCTGACCATTACGAATAAATTACAAACAACTACCTAACCTAAAAGGTTTTCCATTTTAAATCTATAGCTTTGGAAAAGAATTCTGTGTAACTTCGGAAGAAACTTCTGTAAGGAAGTATAAATGTGTTGAAACGATTACTAGGTAAGGCTTAGGCCACGAACACCTTGAACTACATGTTTGAGTGAAATTCTTCTGTTTCCTAGGTGAAACCCTGACCAGCGACAATAACCTAGTCATCCTACCACTTGCTACATACATAATTAACAGCTACAAATCTAGATCGAATATAGCGATTAAGTTTTTTTTGCAAACCGCAACAAAGAAAAAACCAGCATTGTTTGACCGCTAAATTATTCGAATTATTCGAATAGTCGAATATCCAAACAGGTATGAATATTCGATTATTCGAATAGTCGAATATTCGACCATATGTGATTATTCGATTATTCGAATAGTCGAACATTCGATCAACCCCATTTATTCGAATATTTGTTCATTCGAATTTTGAAATGTAGCATTATTCGAATATTCGAATTCGAATAATCTGAAAATCACAGATCGAATAATATTCGTTCGTTCGAATATTTTCAAAAGCCGATTATTCGAAATTCATTCGTTCGACAAAATTTTTCGGTCGTTTCAACTATACAAAGTATACGAGTTGGTGCTTAAAAGGAGATGCCGCCGATTGGCTACACTCCTGGCGCACAGGTACCACTCACTCTTGAGTGATTAGATACTCGAGAGTGAGTAGCTCACCATTTAGCCTACGGGGATCCCGTAGGCTATACAGATTATAGAGTTCATCAATGGTTGATGATCCAGAAATCATCAACACCAGCTCATTCCTCAAATTTTACTCAACAAAATTATAGCGACTGCGGGCATGTCTGCTATGGAAACTACATGCGTAAGCGAGATGTGTTCCCGAAAGATGTCCTGAACAAAAATTTTTTTTTGGGAGGGGAGATGGTGGGGGGGGGGGAGGCAACTAGATTTTTTCAGTTTGGGCTTCGAACTCAAAGTGGGTCGAACCTGTGCAGATTCTTAGAGGTGGTTGAAGCCCTTTTGTCTTATGGAGTATTAATATGAGCCCGATCAAAAGAAATGCGCAGTCAGAGAAATTCATGAAAACGCAACATCTAACGAACGCAACACTTCCAAAGATTTGCTTTCGTGCTGAGGAATCACAGTTCGCTTAATCACCGGCCGAAACCATTCGATACATAGAGAGACTTTAGAGGCGTCTTCCACCCAGATTCTCACTTTCATGTTTCGGTCGTTTCGGGGCCTTCTCATGTCCCTGATTCCGAATATAGAGTCGAGAACCACGAAAACCTCGACAATCGGCTGCACCACAGGAGGTACGCCGCGGCGGCGGCCGCTCTTCCGCACACGCAGCGCTCAAACCTTGGGGCCTTCAAGACTCTCCGCCAATAGAGATTTCGGCGGCAAAAGGGGGTGAGGGTGGGGGCAGATACATACTTAATGGTGTAAGTAAGACTGCGCCAGAAGCTCTGCTATTGTAAGTGCTGAAGCACGTTGCGGCGTCGCTTCGCGAAAAGTTCGCGCCGATCGTACCTCCTGACCTTCCCCCTCGACAATCCCCGTTCCGGAGGACCCGCCGGTCACTTATCCGGAACGGTGATTGAATGGGCGCGCACAAATGGGCGGGCATGCATGGGGGAGGGCGGGTATGGATGGGGGTCGTCGTCCATCTTTGCTATTCCGAAGCGATTTTCTCGCTTCCGAAGCGGCATTTTGCGCCGCGACTTGAGCATTGGTTTGATAAGGGGCCCTACTATTATATGATACTAAAATCTCAACACCCTCAACTTAAAGTGGACGGTGCCTTTAAGGAAGCTTTACGTCTATATTCTATTTGATTTAAAGGATTCCGAAAAACTGCACAATTGTCATTAGACCGTACAAATGTTCCCTTATACAAAAAATGGCTGACGTTTTTGCGTATTTGGCTTGTGTTTGAGTACCGCTATAGCCAATAAACTAAAATGGAAACTGTAACACTGGTTAGCACCAAACTTCATTTCAAGTCATGTACTCAATTTATTCATCACACTAATTAATGAAAAGACGAACACATAGCTTTGTATACAGAATTTTGGCATAAGTGAAAATAATGGAACAACTGAGCAAACGAACATGGTGAGGTCACAGCACAAACGCAAAATCAACCTCCAAGCATACCACACCAAAATTGCGAAATAATTCTTAAGTATTTTAAAGCTAACGAGAATGATATGAGGAGATAAGATCACAGTTTTGTTTTTGCACTTTTTCAATTCATCTTCTCAATTTCTCATTCACTGTTTTCACGATTAATGATGTCTGGAATACCAGCTGATTGGCAGAGACGGATACCTAAAAAGATAGCGAATATGGCAGTGTGTAGTGAAGAATGCAAGAAAAGAAGCAAACAAGAAGTCGATTAGTCTAAGACTGGCGCTTGAAATGACAATGACATTGTAGTACCACCAACCTGAACAGCATTTTGATCCTTGAAATATGTCTTTAAAGTATTGCTGAATCGCTTCGAATAATGTACAAACTCCCGCTTCCTTTTCTCGACTGCTAAAAGTAAAATAGTGATTATTGGCATGGACCTGATTGAAACATGAAAATTAGCAAGATTCTGTATTTCTTGAGCATAACCATCAGTCACAGTTGAATATACTAGAGCGATTACGGTCCAATTGGACGAGTTAAAGTGAACATGCAAAGAACCGGTGTAAAACTTCATTGTAAACCCCTCCCTCGATCCGCCACTCCTGGAAAAGGTAAGACGCTACTCAACTATTCTCTTTGGTGACAAGCGAACCATGCCCCGAATTCAACGCCTAAATGAAGATCTGTAACTTGGGCCCGTAGGCACGTACATCAAGCTGACGACCTTATATCCCGTGTCTGAGAATCTGTGTCCCTAGTTCTCTACCGATCTTGTTTGCGCTGGATATGTGGCGGTGCTAACAATAAGCGTATGTTATTGTGTTTTCACATAAGCTCCGTCCATTTTCACTTTGCCGATAACTCCCATGTTTCCTAACTAACAAACAAGCTCTAGGATACTTCTCAAATGGAGCAAAGCAAGCTCTGCAAAGTAGCGTCCGACTTTTTGCACAGGGATAGTTCCACATTAAATCAAAAACCAAGATCTAAAAATTTTTGGAAACTCGAAAACTAGAGAAAATTCAGAAATTCGCTTAGAAATCTTCAAGAAGCTCTTACATGTGTGAGCATATAACACTCTTCATGCAATACATTTAGGCACTTTTGCCGTACTTTTTCCATTCTTAGAAACTTAGAAACAGAAAAAGGAAAACGTCGCATTTTTCGGATTTTTCAAGCTCAATCTGAGTTTTATCTAAAACTACTGCTCCTCAAATATTGAAGAATTGTGAATACATCTGAAGGCTTACGCTATAAAATCACCTGTATAGGAGCAGGTCAACATGCCTTGAAAAAATGATGCAAAATTTCGTTTTCGCAATTTCTAGCAATGGAAAAATCACAGTAGTTTGCATATGAATGCTAGGTAAAAAGTTTATGTGCGAGAACAAGTTAGAGCTTTCCCAGAAGAAAGCAAAGTTCTGAATTTTTTCTAGTATCTGAATGCTTCTTCTGAAAGGGCTCTTGATAGTTTTAGGATTTTGATTTTTTACTCAATGTAGAATGAACTCTGTATAAATGTTTGAGGGCTACTTTGTAGAGCTTGCTTTGCTCAACCGAAAGGTTATTTTTAGTGATCAAGAGATATGGAGTTATTAGAGTAAAAAAGTAAAAACGGACGAAACTTGAGGGACAATTGATAAATAGGGAAACTGGTATGCAAAACACGAGTTTAAAATCGCGGCTCGCAAGCAGTAGTCCATTAACATCGATAATCTGAGATTTCATTTATTTTCCCAGCGCAAACATGCATAGCAATGCCACTACCTCAGTAAAATTCACGATGTTTGAGTTCGTGGATAGACAAATGCTTTGTAATTACCCATCCTTTGAGTGCTCCTAAAAATTCAAAACAACGAAAAAACGAGTCCAATTAGCAATGCGCTGTCATTGATTATGCTGAGGTACCCAGGCAGTCGAACATCTGAAAAGTTTCCAGAAAACGAAGGATACAAATTTGTAGGCCTCCGAAACATAAAAGATTTTCCTCGCACTTCCCTCCCTCCCCAGCGGGGACCGGCGCAAGGACCTTGAAGGCAGCGTCCAGGCAAGATCCATCCACCCATATTAGCACATAGTTGTAAAGAGGGGCCCATGAGTATCCGATCGGCGTTGGTCCAATCTTTTGACGTGCCCTCTGAAAGGAGATACGGGCTTGTGATACGTATCACAAGCCGCCCCTTCGTATCACAAACCCCCCTGAGGACGAGTGCTTACGCAGGTGTGCGTTTGCATTGCAGTTGCATTGCAGTTGCACTGCACACTGCAATGCAACTGCATCCATACAGTTGCAGCTCCTCCCGCTGGCATGACGATGGGGACGAGCAATTCGAAACTCGTCCGCTCCTTGAAGAGAGGGTCCCCAAGAACCGGGTTTTTTGGGAGTTTTGAACAATTTGGACTTTACAACTGTAATCAGGGCCATGGAAAGGCTCCAGAGTGGCAGAAACATGAGAGGCGAAATTTTGCCCGGACGCTGCCTTTAACCCAGAAAATTGCTCAGCAGAATGCGGGCGGCTTCAGATTAGTCATGGCCGATACAATTACATGTCCTATCAAGAATGACTAGCGCGAATTAGCACTCCGTAATCAACGCCTTCTGATTACTCATCTCATTCAAAAACGGTTGCTAATGAAAATTATGGAAAAGACGACGGCAGTTAGCCGCGGCCAGAGAAGACGGAACAAGAGACCGAGAAGATTGTGAATCGGTATGCAGGGCAGCAAAATTTTAAACAAAATTCGTATCTTAATTTATAGTTCCAGATGTGTCGAAGGCCAAGGATCAATATAGTAGATCGTTAAAGTTAGAGCACACTTCTTGAGTGTATAAAGCATGATAAAGATTAAATTTGACGCAAAAAATTATAAGCCAGCAAGGGAAAGGGGACAAGGTTTGACCAACAACTGATTATGAACACCATCTCTCCCGTCATCAAATAGTGAACCCCAACTTTGTCAGCAAAGTTCGACGTATGTGCGCAGCAAGGTGGTTCTTATACAAAAAACGCAGTGATATTCAAAATTTGCAAAAACTATTAACCACTGAGTGAGCATCGATCAATAGCGTTTGAAGCCGATGACAAGTAAGGAAAGGAGAAAGGGTTGAATGAATGCGGATGATGCCAATACATCGGCTTTGAATTTAAAAAAATCACACATCCTCTTCGAACATAAACATGTGTAGAAACGAGCAGAGGGAACAAGAAACAAAAAAAAAGATTAGAAAAATGTATAGCAAAAAGCAAAGAACTGACCTTGCTGTGCTGATAGAGGTACTATCTGCAGTACAGCGTTGATAGCTTCTAACAGCTTCTTTATAGATGATGCAATCAACTTAATAGTTTCCAAAAACTGATGACGATCAGCCATTTCCTCCGGTACCCTTGACAAAACTCGTCGCAGTTCGATAGCTCTGGAATAATCTGCAAGTTTAAACGAACTGTGCAATAAGGTGTAGTAAAGATGCTAACTCTCTAAGCCAAACAATACTTCTACTAAAACAGGATAAAAAAATTCACTCGATTCAAGTTGAAGTGAAGCTTGACTTACATAAAGATACAAATCACCCCTTGGCTCAGAAAGCTATTTCTCCATTCATAGTTCATAGATAGGGAACGAAACCAATATCAACCCTTTCTTTACAACAGAAAAAACGAGTATACACGAAGAAGAAACAAGAATCGAGCTTCAAATCGCAAAAATTATTTTTTACCTTTTTGTAAGCTCTTTGTACTCAGGAACATGTTCGTAACCTTGAACAACAAGATCATCTGTCGGTGAGCTATCATGCATTCGAAGATATGCCTCCTACAAATAAGAAAGAACAGCTGACGAAAAGATAGCCAAACCAAATAGTGGAGACAACAACGAGAAGTAAAGTGGTCACAAACCTGCAAATTAATGCTGAGTTCCGATTCTGCCAACAAAATCTTGGTGAAGTCAAACAAAAAGGAAGGAGATGCACTGTCAGACGCTTTCATAGCTGATCGCAAACGCTAGAAAAAAAACAACATAGGACCGAATCACAGCTGTGTTCTACAAGTTGTAAGCAGAGTGAAACAAAAAGAAATATGATAACCCATAGATAGAAGACCAAAGTTTGACACATATGGAAACTTATTTCCTGCTTTTTCCCGACATCATGCTCGAGTAAATCATGACAGAATTCAATTCTGAGAAGAAAGTTTCTTGATAAATTAAAGTTCCCCGAGAAAGCTGGAGCTAATGTCTCAAAGACGAAGCCTAACTTCCAGAGCATTTTGAATGAGACAAAAAGGAAGGTATTCCAAAAACAATCTTCAAAACTCGTAAGTCAACCACTTCGGAGGATTATGCTTTGTAAAGCACAGATTATGCTTTTATTCAATGCTTCACGATGTCATAGATTGAGAGGATATCGTAGATTTGTTAATTGTTAAGAGGCTAGTATGTCAAACATGAATGTGATTTTACCATCAATTCAACACGGCAGGATCCAATTTCATGATAAAAAGAATAAATGGTAAGTTTACAGCGAATGAGCGAGAAAACTCCTTGAAATGCAAATCGTAATCTAGACCAACAGATTAGATCCACCTTCAGTTCGACAATGTCGTGGCTATGACCACGTTTACCTATCGTAGGGCTACATTAACTAAGAAAAAGATGTCAATTTTCAACAAAAAATTGAAAAAAGCTATTTGACCTTCAAATAGAGAACGACAGAAAATAAGATTAACTGACGAACTTACATGAATAGCAGCTAAGGCACGATCATCGTCCTTCTTTAATGATCGCATTTTGTCCAGGATCCCACTGTACAAGCATTGATACGTCATAGCGCCAAGATACCCACCTTCTTCGTTCATTCTGAAAGTCGTGAATGCCAGCAATGATCTTGATCATATGGACGTGATATTACATAAAAGTTCACAATGCAAATAAAAAACTAGTGCAAGAAGCTCGAAATAGCGCTATATGATGAGGATAATCTGGAATGCACAGCCGATGATAACTTTATAACATCAGCACTCGAATCGATAGCAGAATCTCAGCAATAAAAATGACGAAGCGTCAACGGATGATAACGCAATCAAATGTGTGAAACTATTCAAACGAAAGCGTCCAGCCAAAACAATACAACGATCGATAGCTGAGAGAAGTTTAGCAAATTGAAGTGGAAAGCAAACGAGGTATGAAATGTGACTATTTCAGTACTTGAAGGACGACGACGCAGCGAGGCTTTGTTTACAAAAGAAAATCCTTTGGAATGCGGGTGAGTGTCTGTAACATTCTGTAACCTCTGCAACTTCGAGTGCATTCTCGGACGATGAGTCATGGTGTTTCCAAAAACGCTCCAAAGAATATGCGGCACATTCCAAGTCCTTGGAAGACATTTTTGAAGAATTTGTTTGAGGTACTTGTAAAATCGATCATCTGCAAGATCATCACATTATTGAAAATGAGGTAGAAGAATATGAAGTTGTCGTCGGCCATCAAGGCCCATTAGAGGCGATTCTCGACAAAAATAACGCTTGCCAAATTGCGTTGTCAAGTACCTAGTGAGCCCCAAAGTACACCGCAGCCTACCCTCCAATTCATGCGCTAAGTCCTGGAGAAGCGCTTCAAAAGCCTGCCAGGTCCACTTCCTTTGAGTGAGCATCAACAATAGCTATTGAAGCGCTCTCAGAATCTAACGCGAGGTTTGGCATGTGTGGTTTGGGCTAGGGAGTAAAGTGCATCCCCCAAAATTTTTCCCATATGAACACCAACGTGGCTCCATTCGATCATTTTATCATGTCATCCTCGAATAAGCGCCTTAAATTTGCTGGAGTTAACGTGTAAAAACGATCAGAAGGCAACCACGCTGATGGTTCACATGGGAACAATTGGGGGGGGGGGGGGGAGGGGGACGATACTTGAAGGGTCTACTACTAACATCACCAAAATCTTAGTAATTCCATTTTGCCGAGTCAGCGCCTCTTACGGGGTGTATAGTAAGTTCCAACTCAGTTTAGGCGGAAATTGGACTGGCGGGATTCCGCTTCGCAACGATTCGCGCCTCTTTGCAGTCTGCGTCTCTTCATTCTAGTCGATCTCGCTAAGCCAGTGGCGGTGCGGACGCGCTGCTCCACTTGAAATGTTTCGCCTACGCTGGGTTGAAAAAGATTGTAAACAGGGCTCGGCACGAGCTGGCATTAGAGATTTAAAGTGATCTCTTTTTCATACGTTTAAGGTCTACGGTCCCCTTTGACCGTAAACCCTAAACGTAAAATCGAAACTTTTGGCCACAAAAACAACATCCCCTTCGCTTTTTGTCCCAAAAACGATATCCAGCTTAACCCGGTGCCAGCTATGCCTAACCGGCGTAAAAGTTGCTGGCTCCACCTGAGCACTCCACTTGTGCAAAAAATGAAGGGCTTTGGGAGATGCTTGTTTTCGCCACTTTCGCGCCCTTCGAGGTGCACTTCGGGATCGCATACTAGATAATACCCAGCCCACCAGTAAAGCGAAAAAATTGAGTCAAGGACTTCCAGCCACTACCCTCAGCGATTTATCCAATCCTGTGTCTCGATAGGGTCCGAAATTTGGCTGTGGGCATTCTAAATTGCACCGGTCTTCTCGGTGATGCTGATCTAGCGGTCCTTGATCTGTATCGGATCCTGAACCGGTTGAGAACTCCGCGCATTGTCGCGGTTACCACGCATATGACCATTTCAGTACTGACTGAGGCGGGTGTATGCCAAGATTAACGATAGCTGCAAATATGCATACACTGTACTCCTGCGGTTGTCGGCTGCTTGCGTTGGATCCGATACGGGCATCACACCCTATAATGACTGCTTGTTTTGCTGGAGTGGGGGACATTAGGTCGCCGAAAATGGGCGGTCCCCGCGGTCATTTGCGACAAATACGCATCCTTGTACATGCGCGGACATGCGTTCCTGCAGGGAATCCGCGCGGGACTCTTCCAAATTCGGCGACCTAATGTCCTCCACCCGCTCAGACACTCGCACCGGCCGGCGACCGTTCCACGACCGGCCGGTCCATCACCGACATTTCGGCCGGAACGGTCGCCAGCCGGCCGCCAGCCGGTACTCGAACGGCCGCCAGCCGGTACTCGTGCGGCCGCCAGCCGGTACTCGTACGGCCGCGGGCCGGTATGCATCAATGGCGCAGCGAAATGGCACTGGGCCACAGTATCTCTTCCTCTAAATTCTAGCTTTTAGCACTGTATTTCAATACATGGTGGTACGAATCTACATAAACGTATTTATTATAACACTATACAATGCAAAGAAACACTGACAAAAAGGAATGTCACACGGGTTCACGAAAAATACATTTGACTACAAAGCTAACAACTTTTTATCTATATGGAAAGATCATTTGAAGCAGCAGGTCCACACATCGTCGTACAAGCGTTCCGAAATGCGCCGGTGGGTCACAAAATGTTTTAATTCTTGTGCTTTTATACGCACACGTAAGCAATAACAAGCTGCATTCGATGACCTATAAATGAAACAAACTACTACATTTTTATCTGACACCAGAACTTACATGCTATGCACAGAGTTGCGATAATGTTTGTTAGTAGAGCAATACCAGAAACATGTGCATTACAGTAGACGTTTAGAATAGATGATTGTATTGGTCTCTGGAAAACACCGCAACGCTAATTTTAAATGATGTTCAAAAAGAACTTACATCGGAGTGAGTCCAGCAGCCGTGACCACATCAGATTAGCAGGAATGCGGTAGAATATCAGATAGTCCGAACCGTAAATGTTGCCAGCATAGTAGCAAGTGACAGATGAAGGTATCCAGATGAGTTTTCGAATACCCAACAGATCAGAAATTCCAGAAGTCCAGAAGTCAGAAGAACCCAGATCAGAAGTACCACAAGTCAGAAAAGTCCAGACATCCAAAAAATGTGAATATGTAGAGGAACATCCGTTAGAAGCAATACTCAATTTCACGAATAACAACAGAGCAGTCAACCATTCGCTGTGGTTCCTTCAGAAAGACAAGAACGCAAACACCACACATATTGCAGTTGTCTCCTGAAAAATAGTGAACATTCAATTTGTACTTCATTAGTTCGTACCCAAAAAAGGATGCGACACATAGACTTACCGTCACAGCAAATAAGCATGAACTCACTGACGTTCGGCTTGTTGGCCATTCAAGTCAAAATAAGCAGTTCTCCATTCAGATCAAAATAAATTCGCCATTCAAGTTAAAGTAAGCAAGATTATAGAAAAAGGGATATGAACACCACTGCATTTGATTAAATCTGAAAAAGAGAGTGGAATGAACAGAATCATATTAATGGGTTACATCAACTATCAATTTCGGACATAGAAAGTGATGCAACCCAAGTGGAAAACCCCAATAACAAAGGAAAACCAATACAGGAAGTTTCCTGCTCAAAAGACACACGCGCCCGACGTTTGAAATTATTTTCTTACTGTACGCGCAATCTTGTGCGCCGAGCTTTTGCACAGTGGAACGGACGCCGGCCGGCGCAATTTACTCGTCCGGTGGCCGGCCGGTATTTGGCTCTGCCCTAAATAATGGAACGGCCGCCGGCCGGAAGGCCGTCGTCGGCCGGTCGCGGGCCGGTGCGAGTGTCTGAGCGCTCAGGCACTCGCACCGGCCCGTGACCGTCCGACTACCGGCCGGTGGGGGTGGTGTCAATTTCACTCAGCCGCGTAGTCTACGACCACCGGCCGGTATTCGGACGGCCGCCGGCCGGAAAGGTACGGCCGCCAGCCGGTGTATACTGAGGAACGGTAGAACTGTTTTACATGGTAGAACTGTCTTTTATTCACTGGCATATAGGAAAATACACTGCAAAGAACAAAAATCAATGCCGCTGATGCAGCAGCTTCGGAAATCACGTCCAATTTAAAATTCGACAATACCGAGATACTATCGAGGGTTGTCTATAAGACAACATGTTGCCTTGTTTCTGCTTCGGAAATTGAAGAACATGCAAGGCATTGAGGGTAGCCTAACCATGCGTCGTATCTCACGCAAGTATCCTTTACGCTAAGACACTGGGAGATAGAATTTTGGGACGGTCGCCGGCCGGCATGATCTTTTGGGACGGTCGCCGGCCGGCATGATCTTTTGGGACGGTCACCGGCCGGCATTTAGCTCCGCCCAGATTTATGGAACGGTCGCCAGCCGGAAGGCCGTCGTCGGACGGTCGCCGGCCGGTGCGAGTGTCTGAGCGTTTTGCTGCAGTCTTGGCGCACTTACAGACTGTGTTCGTGCCGGTGACCTCGCGAGAGCATCCAAGTTCCGCGGATTTGATTCCAAATGGATTTGGATCAAGGGCAACATGAGCGCACATTCAGTGGTCTAGACTTCGTCAATGTGGCTGCGCTGTGGAGATGTTTCGGCACATAGTAGTTGGATGAATAGATTTGTCGTATTGTGGAAAGAACACCCATAACACCCACCCGTATTGCCGAGTTTCCCAGTTAACGTGATCTTTGTGGCAAAACCCGCTTGCGCTAACCAGAACACCCTCTATCCTCCTGTTGTTGGGAGAAATGTGGCCATAGGCCCTGCTTCTCAAAGTTTCATCATTACTTTACATCAGAAAGAGTATCAAACTTTGGAGTTTGCAAATGTTATGTGTAAGTTTGCTTTGTATAAGTCACTTGACAATACAGGATGAATTTTAAAATGCGTGCTTGCGCACAAGAAAAAATACATAGACGAAGTCTCCCCTCCACGTATCTTATTCTGAACAGATAGTACTAAACGTCGAAGTTGAACTGCATAAATTATTTATTTTGATGAATTAATAACAACTGATAAAATATAACAAAAGCTTTAATGAAGGTAACCATCGGTGACACAGTCGACATTAGCGAACAGGTCTGTCAGCCGTCAGATTGCCACATGCAGGAAATGTAACTAAAGAGAGGAGGAGAAAGAATCACAGTAAATCTCACCACAGTCACAAAATACGATAAATTCTGAGAAAAGCATACAAAATTTTCAGGACATACACACAATTGGAGAAGAAGATGTATAATGAGAATCAACCAAAAAACGATAAGAAGTGATATTCCTCGCATCTTTTCTCCTCACATACAACAGCACCAAAAATGATTAGCTTTTCATTTCAAAGCCTTCCGGCTTATAAACTGGATACTGGACGGATATCAAAGCGCTGCGCGAAACTACAACTAGGAAAATAAGCAGAAACCACAACAATAAAATCCAAACTCCACAAACCTTAACGCTCAGTTCCGTTTTTATCTGCGCAACTAAGCAAAAATCGACCGAGTTTCTGGCTCAAACTTCTCCCATACCTCTAGCATCTAAAGAGATACAACTGGTGGCTATGATCCTAGAAGAGAAGACAAGGTTACCTCCGTGTGTGTTTGAACTAACGACTCCAGGTACTCGATGAACATTTGGCGCATATCATGTCGACGTTGGACCTCGAACCTTCCAATCTGTAAAGTGGATACGGGATGCAAAAAGAATATGAGAACAATTCCCCTTCTTCAAGGGATGACAGGCTGTATCGAAGGACTGGAAAATAAATTGAAAAAAAATTCCATATTCTACAGCATGGATTGATTAATTTGATTCATGATCAAAATTTCGACACTCAACATAAAATATATGCGAATATATGCGAATACATTCTCAATACATTTTCTAAAGTGTTACTAGGTCTTTACCTCTTCTCGTATGAGTTTGCTGAGCTCTCCAAACTCTGCCTCAAGTTGATCCATGCGACGTACGGCTTCATCCATCTCATCTCGGAGAGCAGTTGCTCTATCATTCTTTCCAGATAATTCCAACCTTGAAGAAAGTGAATGAGCGGTTATTTGGTAGGGCCAGTACAACAATACTGACTCATGTTCCTAAGAATCTTCCAATACAATAGACCAAGCAGAAAAAATCAGACAAGAAAGAAAGATTCCAGATGACAATATTCCAAAGGTTAATAGTGAGTTTGCAATAATTCACTATGAAAGTAGGTTGTGAATAACAAGAAAGTGTCATTACAAACATCACGGACCTTGCTTTTTGTTCACGCTTCCGTGCAAGGCTTTGCTGTGCAGATTGCCAGTTCTGCCAGACTCTTACTCGTTCAGCAAAAAGTTCTTTCAGTGAACCAACCAAACCAACATATTCGCTCAGGGATTCCGTGAATCTAAACTTTGTGCTATGATTCACCATGAAAACAGGTTGTGAATAATACCGGATTGAGTCCATCTCCGACTGCTTGGCCCACAAAGCTGCTGCATTTTCTTCAGTCTCAGTCAAATGAGAAAGCGCTCTAGCCAAAGCTGTGGACTCTTCACAGGAAGCAAGCATGGACAAGCCCTAAAAACTCGAAATCGGAACTAGCCGAAACGAGGGCAAGTGTGCAAGCTGTGGAAAGCGAAAACCTTGCTCATGCTTTCCTGGGCTCCAGCCAGTTCCTTGCGAGTTGATGTTAGAGATTCAGATAAGTGCAGCAACTTCCTCAAAGATTCGTCCAATTCTTCAACATGCGACTGTGTTTGCTCAAACCAACGGTCTCCCTCCTCCATATGGAAAGCCATTTTAGAAAACACCTACAAAGCATTGATACAATGCCGTTGAATTAGATCGCAGTAAATTAGTGAGATATCTAACACAATAAAAACTCAACTCTCCCACGCTTTTGAAAATACGTTTGACACCCGCTCCTGATAGCGCTGCAGTTTGACTTGCACGGGGAAGCTCAGTCTATAACAGAAGCTCGGGCTTATATATAGAACTTAATGACGAATCTAACCTCCATAGTGAGGAAATCGCGAACGTCACAGTCTATCCGTAGTCGAGGATGCTGAATTATTCGTCTCATGAAACGTTCCAGTTGTCTTGCGCGACGAACAGCTACTTCTCGAGATGTTGCAGGATCCGAAGTGGCCTGAAAAGTGACAGCCTAATGGATGAAATTTTCATGATTTGCTTCTATAATCACGAAGCACAATGGCTGTTATACGCAAACTGATTGAAGGTCTTTTTCAGATCACAGTAGTCCTAACGATCGAAGCCCAAGAAGGCTTATATGAGATGTATTGAATGAAGCGTTCGTCATGCAAATAGATCTCTGTAGCTCCAAAAACTCAACTGACATCTACGCATAATGTACCCATTTCACAACGGATACAGAATACTTCTTACCTTCGTTTTCGTCATAGCGGCGATACTCTTTTCAGGAGCGGCTGGTACGATTATTCCCTTCGAAATATACTTCTCAAAGAGTTTATCATGTAGTCCAAGGAAGTCGGAGAAGCGTCTCCATACTTCATATGTTCGATCTGATACGCCTGGTACTCCTTCAGACTAAAATGTTGTTGATTTCAAAGGGAAAGGAGGTGCTGTGACACTAACAAACCTTGGTAATAAGCTTGTAGACTATGTAAGCGTTCATTCCATCTCCTCGCTTCTCAAAATCGCTAATTCGAACTTCAAGAGTAAAATCAGCATTCATCAACTGGTCATCTTTCGGAGCAGGCACTGGCTGATCAAGGACACTAAATTACCGTGAATTCGAAGGATACACGGAGAATCTCAAGGCAACGTCCATCCAGATTCTCGCCTTCCATGTTTTGGTCGTTGCGAGGCTTTCTCATGCCCCTATTCCGTACATGAAGTTCGCGAAAATCCCGGTTCCGGAAAACCTGCAGGACGATTCCCCGGAACGGTGACTGGATGGGCGCGCACAGATGGGCGGGCATTACTGGAGGGGCAGTGCCAAGTTGGGTTCCTCACTTGGGCACTGGCTTGATGGGGCCCTACTATCGTGAACTGCCAAAAGCTTAAGACCTTTAACTTGGAATGGACGGCGCTTTTAAAGGCAGTGGATCGGCAGAATGAGACCCGTGGCAAAACAAGGTCACAGGGTAGGAGCCCTCGTAATGGAACCTATGGGCCAAAGTTCAGTCTTTCTCTACCACTTCTAAGCCCCGAACTTTCAAAGCTAAAGGAGCGGTCATCTCCTGTCCTCTCCGAACCCGCCCACCCCACGGACGAGTGAACGCGAAGCCCGTCATGGCGAAGACGCAGAGTCGTTGCGGGACCTCATGCTTATAGCATTGCGGCTGGCGCTCTGACTGGAAGTCACTCGTTTATGGGGTGGGCGGGTTCGGAGAGGACAGGAGATGAGCGCTGCTTTCGCTTTGGAATTTCGGGGGTTAGAAGTGGCAGAGAAAGATCGAACTTTGGCCCATAGGTTCCATTATGGGGGCTCCTACTCTGTGACCTTGTTTTGCCACGGGTCTCATTCTGGCGACCTACTGCCTTTGAGGACGCCCGCTAATCCACATCTGAAGTAAAAAAGAGTTCACTCACCTTGAACTTTCCGGGGCGGGTGTCGTGCCCGGATCCAAAGATGTATCCAATCTTAACTTTGAGCGCGTGTCTGTGTTGAGATTGATCTCATCACCTTCGTCATCATCGAGCAAAGATGTCGGCTAAAATCAACAATCACTATAGCTGGATGACGCATAGCATAAGATAAAGCCTTGTGTCAAGAGGTATACATATGTACTGCGTATGAAGCCAAATCAATCAAAGTATGGTCCTTAAAGATATGGATATCAAACACCTCTAAGACATACCAAACAAATATTTTCAAAGAGAGCACTTGAAAGGTTGCAGTACTATCTAGCAGTTACGGAAGCAAGATGTGTACATACGGAGATGCTTGGTGAATTTACCAAGCTTAGCAGCTGGGTGACCCTTACCGGGCTAGAAATATTATGACGATCAAATATGAGAGCTTCAAGCATGTTATGTTGATAACTTCTTCCAGTCCACACTGACAACATCGGTATTGATGAGATTGAGTTTTTGTGAAAATTTGCAGGTGCTATTTGATAATATCTATCAAGTCAGCGATTATGGTTGAATGTGCTGATCAAAGACCAACAACGAAGCATTTTGGCATACCGGGCTGAAAAAGGCCATTCGATTTTTTGTGCTATCAATGATAACCAGGGTCAAGCAAGGGGTGTGGCACACGATCGCTGGTTACGACCCCCCCCCCTGATTGCTGTCTTAATAAGACCCCCCACCCTAAATTATATACCTAAGATAGCATTACCAGAGTTGAGAAAGGGGTCAGGCACAAGTCTTTCGAAAACAACCCCCTCTCCTCCCATGAAAGCCCTCAAACGACCCCTTCTTCCTCCTCTTAACTTCTGGACCTCTGTGACATTCTGGAGGACACCAGCTTTTTCTAGAAAGTTTTCAGATTTCTGAGAGCTGTACGCCCGATTTTCTGTGACTGCACTTTACAATCACACGTAATTTGACGGCTGATTTTGATCTGAATGGGCATATTGAAAGGGCCATAATTTTCTTATGGGTGGGGCGTTCGGCTCCAGATTTCCAGTGTAGCAAGAAGAAGCTATGTGCTCAATACTCATACCAGCAATGGAGCGCTTTCTGGATTTTGAAGGCAAGTTAAGGGGTGCGGCACACCCCCTTAAAAGCTGCGGCAGCCGCAGCTTTTAAGGGGGTGTGCCATACCCCATTAACTATATCAAAAAAACATTTTTAGCGGACAGTATTTATATGAATCGATAGCCTAAACCTTGTAGATTCCATAGGGCTGTTTGGAGCCTGATTCGTCTTCTTAGCTCTGAGTAATATTTGGTGAAAGCACAGCGATCAAAAGCGAAAAATGGGAAAAACGAAATTTTGGTTGGCTTCTAATTCCACAGTTTGCAGGTCTTCTGAAGCGAGATTCCTGAGTTGGACAAAGAAGGAGTAGTGCTTTGTCTTGAGTGCAAAAGCGGATAGCTAATTCATCTTTGAAACAAAGTTAACCATGTTGGAATTTGATCATTTCATTTAGGTAGCCTAGTATCTTAAATCTTCAGAATTCGCTCACACTTTGTCTACAGGGGTTAATTGACATGGTAATTATGGATATGATATGAATGTCATGTTATCACTATTATCAGATTACCCAGCTACGAACCCCTCCCCTTTTGACTCCTCAATACGACCCCCCAGGTGTGGCGTGCCGCACCCCACGCTTGACCCTGATGATAACTCGAAATAAAACATCTCAATCGGCAGATGAGAAGAAAACAGGAAGATTAGACTTAATCACAAACATCCAACAGCAGAGTACTGCTCTGATAAGAAGTAACTCGAAATAAAACATCAATTGGCAGATGAGAAGAAAATAGGAAGATTAGACTTAATCACAAACTTCCAATAGCAGAGTAATGCTCTGATAAGAAGCATATACCACATCTAACTTCCCTTATAGAGTTTGGAGTGGTGAGATTTTCTTGCGTACAATAGCTGAAATACCCAATTCTACTAGCCATCGCTCAAAAAATTGATTTTGATACCAGAAAACTGCCTCTGCAAAGGTAAACAGATGGACGCTCAATATAGTGCCCTTGCCAAATCAAAGTTTGTCAATAACATCTGCGCATGAACAAATCACTAACGGCCGCAGAAGTCGAAATCGCTTTATGGCCACCTGCACGTACAAGCTGCCGGCACTAGGCGTAATAATTTATTGATAAGTTAATGTTACCGACAAATGTAGGCAAATATTGGCACCGCAGGGATATTTCTGCGTCAGAATCTACTGATTTATGGGCGTAACGCATTAAATTCTCACAACCCCCTCACTTTGAGTAAAACCTAGAAACTCTCAACTTTCTACATTTCCAAAGCTCACGGACGAGTGGGTCCAAGTTTTTGCCGGTTCCCAAGTTGCCAAAAATTCGCTATTTGAAAATGAGTGACCTCGGATAGAGTGATTAGCTGCACCATGCTCAGCCCATCCAGATAACCCAAAAAAATGGAAAAAACACTTTTTCGACTGGGTTTTTTAGCACATCTAGAAAGAGTGAATAATAAAAAAAATGGTATCTGCTGAGATGCTTCAAAACTCTGCTGATTCTCTGTTGGTGTATAAGGCTGATGCTCAAACCAGCAGCAGCACTCCTCCAAAAGAGATAGATTTTTATCACATGTGAAACTTAGAGTCTTGGGTGGTTTCTTTCAGAGGGGTGATAAACGGATTTTTTAGTAGAGACAACTCGAGCTCCTCGTTGGTTACAAAAATGAGAGATTTTTAAAATTTGCCTTTCAAAGACTCATTTAAAGCTGATAAGCATGTTCTCGCGTTTCTTGATAATCCTACTTTCTTTAATCACGCACAACAAAATGTGGAATAGGAAAATTGAGCTGCAATTTATGCTACCCAGTAGATCTTCAACTTTGCATGGTTCTTATACTATTTGCCTCAACAAATGTTGAGAGCCCTCAAGGTACCAAAATAATCAAAGCAAGCTCATTCTATCATACGAGAAGTCCAAAAAATTGTAAGATTCTACAGTTCGTTCATTTGAGAACGCAATATTATAATACACATTTTATCTCTTAGTATCCCTCTTATCTCACAAATGGACGTCATGCAGGAGGCAGCAAAGTCCTACCGCATTTGCTTCTGGAAGTGCCTGGGGAGCTTCAGATTCCTCGCGCTTTTAATCACTTTTCGCACCTCTGATTACTTTACAAGCTAGAGGATTGAACGAGAATCTTTTTAAGAGGATCTCATCCTGGATCAATTCGAGAATCTTATAATTTCTTTCAATCTCAGCTATAATCGTTTTCGGCCTATTCAAATATTGGGTTCAGGGCATTTGCTCCAAAATTCGTAACAGAAGGAAGTATTCTGTCGCAGAATAAAGGACGAGTGCAATCAGTCTTCAAAGTTCCTTGCCTTCGATCGGAATAACTGAGAAAGATTGACATGTTTGAGATTCTGGTTTGAAGATTGAGTATACCAATTCATACTTTCAAATCATTGGACGTTGAATGGCTATCTATGAGTAATTTTTGAATTTGTTATCTTATTTGCTATGAATTCAAAACATAAAAGCCATCTCAAAACTCGCCACGCTTTAAGAAATCAGCGATCAATTTGGCATAGGTCATATCAAGTAATTAGAAGTGCGAAGAAGTAATTAGAGGCGCGAGGAAGTCTGAAGTTCCTTAGGCACTTCCATAAGCAGAAGCGGCGAGCCTTTGCTGCCTCCTGCCCGACCGCCCTCACAAATAGGACAAATCAAGTGAGAAAGAGACTTCGGCTTGACATTTTGGGATTTTAGGCTAAATCAGCAAAGGAAAAGGCGCACAGTCTTTTTGCCTCTTTCCCCTTGCATGATTGGTTTCAAAAGAAAGAATGTTGACAATAATACAACACTGACGATATGCAGGTAAAAAAGAGGAAAAGCACATATGGCAAGGTTAAGGTAAAAACGGTCTAATTGAATCCAAAGACAGAAAAGGGAACAATCAAAGATGCAGGTCAATAAAGAAAGAGAGAAATTACAAAATGAAAGCTCACCTTCAGATCTGCATTGTGTGGTTTCCCAGAATTATTAACAGAATCCAAATGCTCGTTGGAGTTCCTCAAAGAGTCGTCCCCAGAAAACATCCCTTCAGATAAACATGATGAGATTAGCAAGCCCGGAAAGGAAGAAAAAAGTATGTAAGAAAAACAGCTATGCAGGGTACTGCTGATATAAACTGCTTGTCACGTTGAGGAAAAACGAGTGATTTTGTCCGTGAACGCACTCACAAACGACTTCGCAGAATATTGCCACGACTCGTTGGGCGTGATAGATGCGGAAATGACCGAAAAATAACTTATTGTGTGCGTTAGATCTTCCTTGAGAATACAGTGTTCATACTTCAAAAGAATCTATCGTGCATTCCCAGTATTGTTCCCACATGAACCATCAACGAGGCTGCTTTTCGATCGTTTCAACGCGTCAACCCCAGCAAGTTTAAGACGCTTATTCGAAGTTGGCATGTCAAAATGATCGAAAAACAGCCACGTTGATGGTTCATATGGGAACAATTCTGGGGGATGCACATAACTAGCTCAATATTTCAATTGACACATTCAAACCTTTGATCTCGCTAACTTCGCATAAAGGTATCAAGTAGCCCGCTGATCCGCATTACGTGACCACTCCTGATGCCTTTTTCTGGGTTTGGGGGGGGGGGGGGGTTATACGATGAACAGGTTGAGACCGAAATTGTTACGTTAGCTAAGGCGTTAGGCATCTGAAGCACAAGTGCTCTAGATGAACGACGTCAATCGAAGTGACGTTGAAAAGGGGGACCCGTCTCAAGTTGTGCAGGGAAAATTTTCAAACTTCAGCACTTTTTAGAGGTCTGAGAGCCAAGGCTTCTTTCCATGCATGTCGCAGTTTTTCCTAACTATTATCTAGGTTCTGACCTATTTGAAAGGTGACAGATTATGGAACGTTGTTGAAAATGGGTTTCCACTTTGTGGCAAAATTTTCTAATATGGCAAAATTTTTGAAGGATTTCATAAAGCAGAATAAGAGCAAAAGCAAATGCTCATTTTACTGAATACCTTACAAAAGTTTAGGAAAACGGAATGGAAAAATGCAAACGTCTGCATAACCTAACAAAGATTTATATGGCTTACGGCAATCTTTTGACGTTTCTCAGGCAGGAAAAACTGTAAAGTCATTTCATGAAAATTTTCGTCGGGCTTGCGAGCTAAAATCCCACCTATCAAAGCTCGCTCGCCTGCTATTTACTGGGATTCGAAAGTTTTAGTGCAGTTGCAGTTGAGCCCGGAATTTATATTAGCATAACTTGCAGGTTGAAAATTTTCATGAAGAGGTGCGACGTTCAATAAAAATTGCCAAAAGGAAATCATGGCCGTTTTGTATTAATCTCTTGAAAATCATCGAATTGGAGTTAATTTTGATTATAGGTTGGCCCGATGTTCTTTCGCACCATTTCAAAAGAGATCGTATAATCCCTGTCATGATAGTCTTGCTTGTTTTACATAAGTTCTCTGAAAATCTAAAAACTGTGCCCTAAAATCCGAAACTGTCAGTGTCATGAGTTTTCTGACTCCCCTTTTTGATTAAACGAACGATGTAGTTATAATTCAAAAGGAATCGAGAAGCAAGAGTGTTATGACTTTTTGAGGAAAAGGTGCGAACGAACTTTCGAACCACCTAACATATTGAGCCGTCAAGGTATATTTACAAAAGCCATAATTCACCTCTTCGTTTGATGCTACAGCAGGTGAAGGAGGTGAAAACAAAAATGGAGGACGGAACTGTACAGCCTAATAGATGCTAAGGTGAAGTTGCTGTCTAAAATGTCTATAGGCTGCTGCATGACGAAGGCGCAATATCTTTGGGCGCGAACGCGGTTTCATTAGCCGCAGAGCGCATGAGGCGCAGGATTTACAATAGTCAAGACACGCGCGCGCAACGTTCGCGCCCGCTCAACTAATGCTGCTTGTGCGCCTTCGTCATGCAGCAGCCTTTAGAAGTAAGCAAGAAATTTGCTTATCATTCTACACACGCTACTACTGAAATTCGGACTCTGTATTCATAAAAATATACAAATAATTAAACAACATTTCCCACATCAAGTCCAGCATATGTGCAAACACATTAAAAAAACGGATGCAGATTTTGAGAAAATAGTGTACTTCAATTTTTTTTTCTATTTTCTTGACGAAGTTCAATAAGAAGCCTTTCTAACATTAACATTGGATCAGAATTTCACTTGTCATAACGGTTGTGTAGTAAAAGAGCGGATGACTTCCGGCGTTTTTCCACTGAATGCGGGCCTGGAAATCTTCGAAAAAGACTCATTTTCGCCGTTTTCATGCGCTGTAAAGCCCAGATTTTTTGGCGGGAAGGCTTCAAATAGGTGAAAAACTGAACAGCGAAGTTTTGCCGAGAGTGCCTAAGTATAGCAACGAGGTTGGACTACAGCCCCACGACGTTGCATACGTTGTGAATGGCGCTATTCAAGGTGCCGCATCAGGTAGAACAATTGCAACCATTCACTCGGGTGGTTTCCGTCCACCGCTGACTTCACTATATGCTCGCATTAGCTGCTTTGCTTAGTCTACTCTTACACATCCTAGAAGCTTATAACTATGTGAGTCTAGTCTTTATTCAGTTAGTTGGTTCGAGGCAGGTTCCAACAAAGTTTGAATCTAGTTAGAATTCAGAGCATCTTGAACGTCACAATTTTTATCGCTTGGCTTCTACCTTATCAACTTTTTCGTATCAAATTTAGTGTAAACATGGGGCTAAGGTGCCGTTGTAAAAAGCTCCTTGTTGATTTTCCTATAAATATTGCTGTCATTTGCATGGAAAGTGCATTCCTTGACAAAAAGGAAACGCTGTGCTTTTCAGAGTGATGTGGAGGTTTGCATGAATACTGAAAGTAAATGTGTGTTTTAAATGCATTGTTACAAGTGGGCTTTCGCACAAATGGCCGAAATGTTCTTTTAGGGAGGCGTCTTCACCAGAAACCTTTTGCAAAGCTTATAAATCTGTTTGATACTTGTGTATACAGATACAACTTTCCAGTAATCTACAGTCAAGCTCACGGAGAAGTAGAGAGCCTCTAGTAGCGTTTTTGTGAGTAAACTTGTGCGATGGATGTTAGTGCCACCGTATAATAGCGATCATCTCTCTTAGCAAAACTCGCAGTATCAAAACAGCCTTTATTTAGCAAATACTCAGACAAGTGGCCGGAACTGCCGCAGCGCTTTCGCAGGGTTTTCGCAGGTGACCCGGCGGAAATCCTGCGAAAGCGCTGCGGAAACCCTGCAATCTCAGGGTGCAGGGTTTCCGCAGCACTTTGTTTGGAGTTCCGCAGCACTTCGCGGTTTTCGCTTTTGATTCGCGATCCATTTCTTCCATATCAAGCTTCCTTTTTGATACTAGCTTTTCCTTTCCAATACTAGATTTTTGCTTTTTACTAAGGCATTATCCCTTTGATGTGGAAATTCCTCTAGACCTTCTAGATTCTAAGAGACGTAGACAGAGATAGTTTTTATGAGAAAGCAAAGGGCACAGTGTATTGTTTTATGCAGGTACCATATAGAATTACAATAGGCCGAAGATGATAATTGCAAATTAACAGATTAAGTGTTCATGTGAAGTGTTCATAAATAAATATACATAAAATCACAGGAGCATTCGAGTATATATGCATAACCGAATAAGGTTGGAAAAAATCGGCAGATATTAAGAATCAAAGAGCAATGTTGTTGATGGGAGGGTAAAGAATAATGGAAGAATAAGATAAAAACAAGAATAACAGTCTCATTCACAAAGGATGATATGCGCTTCAAAGGGAAGATGGTCTTGTGGGGAAATAAACCGTCTCCACTTATCGGGTGTCATTTTGAACTGCGAGACTGAAGCCGGCCTCCCTTCCTTTCTGTAATGAGAATTAATTGAAACTTCTTGATGTAAATCTTGCCTTGCTGCAAGTGTTCAATTCTGCAACTTCTTCGCCAAGAAATACGGAGCAAATTTGGGCGATTCATTCAAAATTTTGGGAAATTTCGAAATCTCAACAAGAGAAGCTCAGAGACAGATTTGAAAAATTACAATAGTTTCTGCAAGAATCTAGGCTTCACTTCGACTTGTGTTTTTTTTGGAATTTTCAAATTTGGAGCGACAGAACTTTTGTTTCATTCTAATATTCCAGCATTTTCCACACAAAACAGGTATGTGTCAGACTCGAAGGCAGGTATGTGCAAGTGAAAGTTATTATAAGTTGATGTTAAACTTTCACAAATTAATACTTAGAAAATAATACTAACGAACCAAGAGCTCGTCCCCATCCTTTTCAAAAATTCGAAACTTTCTTCTTTCACATCCGATCTGCACATGTTTATTTTGAAAGAAGACATGCTCTTTCTTATGGTACTGAGGCACTTTTTGATAGCTCCAGAGATGGAAGTCGGTGAAGAAAATTACTCCATTTTAAAGTTCCCCATGTTTAGTCGCAAAAATCTGCCTGCAGAGAATCGGAGCAATCGGTACATAGCTATTATTACCTACTCTTCTTGAGTGTACGAAGATTGCGCTGATTGAACATCTCTTAAAAAGTTATGATTTTTAAAGCCGTAAAAAAGGGTAAATATGATTTTTTGGCATTTGCTTCGAAAATCATAACCTTTCATAAAGAGGTTCAATTAGCGCAAACTTGGCACAGTCAGAAAGAGCAGGCTATAAAACCTATAATGCTCCGATTTCCGTTGCGAGTTTCAGTTTTGCGAACAAACGCAAAAATTTTTTGAGAATGGAGTAACTTTCTTCTACAGCTTCTAACTCTGGAGCTTGCTTCCATTAAAAGGTACTTCAGGTAGGTACTATTGGAAACACGAATTCGAAAATAAACAATTGCAGATCCGTTGAAGATGTAGGAAAGAAAGAAAAAAATTGGGAAAGCGAAAAACATTCAAAACAGCAGAAACAGAGGAGCAGAGAAGGATAGATAAATTAAAGCAGTGGCGGTGCAAGAAATTTTGAAAGGGGGAGGACAAAAAATTTGGGTCTGTGGGCGTGAGCCACCGAACAAAGGGAGATTTAGGAATGGTTGAATTTTCGTGCTTTCAGTTTTTGTACGCCCACGATTTTTTAGCAAAAAGGGGCGTGGAGTGAGCCACACCTTCGAAAATTGCATAGACAAACTACTTTGGAGTTTAGAAGAGCTTTGTTCTTTCATTATCTACAGTCGCAGACTACTATGAATATTCTTGAGACCCATTGTGTCCCGCCTCCTTTCTTTTGATATATTCCTAACACATTATTTCTATTTTATT